TGCCGGGGAATTTGTTTTAAGACATTAATGTTCTTGTCTTCTATTATCAATTGTTTATCTTGTGAGATTCTTAAAACTTTATCTCTACAGTAATTGATTACTTTGTAAATCTCACATGGATTTCTTTAGGTAGCTTATTCTGATATATACTATGCTCACCCTATAAGTTGCTTCCAGACATTGATGGAGATCCACTACTTCCTTCTCTATTTCTGCAGCCAAAGCTTTACTCAATAATATAGTGGTCCCCAACCTTGGGCCTCCAGATGTTTTTGGACTTCAGCTCCCAGAAATCCTGGCCAGCAGTGGTGGTGGTGAAGGCTTCTGGGAGTTGTAGTCCAAGAACATCTGGAGGCCCAAGGTTGGGGACCACTGCATTAATATCTCTAGGTCTTTGCCTTCCTTTTCTGGCAATTTTGAAATCTCAGCATTTTTGATGCTCTCTCCATCTCTAACATTATTAATCTGTCATCATTTTGTTTTTGATTCTTCTGTACTTCCTGTAGTGTTTCTTCATTTTGGTTCACCCTGGCATCTGTACCTTTCACTTTTTCCTCTATATCTTGTTTTCATTTTCATTTCCGTTATCTGTTGTTTTGCTTCCGATATATCCATTTTCATCTCCTTCATCTGATCTGCTATTTGGGTGAGATGTTCATTTACTTGTTGGAATCCTGTTGTTAACAAATTTTGCATGGTGGTCTGCCATTCTTTATCTAATTCTTGTGCCACTAATTTTCCCGAGCCTTGAGCCTGAGCAGGAGAGCTTCCAGACGTTTGGGGTTTTGATTTTTTGGGAGGCCATTTCAATTTCCCTATTTAACCAACAAACAAAGCCCACTATCAACAACCTCACCTAAAACCTTCCTCCAGTCTTTACCCAGATATTGTAGTATATAAATCAGTTTGTAGCCCAACAGTTTAAAACAGCCATGGTAGAAATGTTCCTTCTTCTCGAAAGTCCTAGCAACTTTGTTATATCCCCAGCCTCTGTTCCCAGATTCCCCATGCCGTCCAACAAGAAAAATCCAAGTGGATGCCAATCACAGAATTTCAAACGTCATGGCAGTAGGTTCTGTTAGGGCAAATCAATAACTTTAGGCAATATTTCAGGCATACTACTCTAGAGTGTGCTGTGTGGTGAAGTGCTGTTTTATAGCTTAGTCCTTAGCACATCAATTTGGAGATTAGATTTTGTTGCATTGATATACAGTGGTACCTCGACTTACGACTATAATCCGTTCCAGAAGATGGATGTAAGTCGAAGCACCATTTCCCATAGGAATGCATTGAAACCCCATTAATCCATTCCAGCCAAAAGAAAAAAATTACCCTCCCAAAAACTCACTGCAAGACTCATCGGAAACATGATTAATCCCTTCCGGCCGAAGGGTGGGGAAGAAAAGCAATCAAGCATGCAAGACCCATTGCAAATGCACAGAAAAGAAACGGAGCAGATTGGAAATACACAGAGAACAGCGGGACAAGGTTGGAAATGCAAAAAAAAAGAAAGAAAAGAAAAAGCAAGGGAAGCGTGCAGGACCCATTGCAAATGCACAGAAAACAAACAGAGCAGATTGGAAATGCACAGAGAACAGAGGGACAAGGTTAAAAATGCTAAGAAAACAATGGAAAAAGTAAGAGAAGCATGCAGGATCCATCAGAAATGGGGGAAAATCCAAAAGCAACCAAACCCCCCAAGAACCATTGGAAATGGGGAGGGGAGAAACCCAAAAAACAAACCCCCAAGACCCATCACAGCACAGAAACATAACCCCCCAGCCTAAAATCATGCTGCAAAACCACCCAGAACAATTTTTAAAAAGCAGAAAACAGCACCTTACCTTACCTATCAGGCAGTCCCAAGCCTCCCTGCAAACACACACACTCACTGAGAAGCAGAAGCCAGGCAGTCCCTCCTCGATCGCACTCACTCTAACCGTAGGGGCGAAAGAACTACAAAGAAGCAGCCTCTTTTACCACCTACAGTTAGCAATTTGAATTTCCCGCTTCCCCCCTACCTTTTTCTGTTCATAAGTGGAAGCTCCAGTCACAAGTAGAAGCAAAATTTTGCGACCAGAGCTGTTTGTAAGTCGAATTGGTCGTAAGTAGGGATGGTTATAAGTCGAGGCACCACTATATACATCCAGCTAGGTATGTTTTCAATATGGCTTTACCCAACACAATGATGCATGTAACACGTATGATGAGCTCACTGGGATTTGGTGTGCTTCATTCATATATACAGTGGTGCCTCGCTTAGCGATGTTAATCCATGCAGCAAATTGCGATTTCATTGCTAAGCGATTTTAAAAAGCCCATAGAAATGGACTAAAATGTGTTTAATGTGTTCTTATGGGCTTAAAAACTTACCTTATGCGAAAATCCTCCATAAGGGGAATAACAACAGCCTACTTAAGGATATGCAAGCTTTTCCCCCACAAAGAACAGCATTCCCTGATGCTTCTGCTTAATTATTTTTCATTGTTATGTATAATTTACAGTGATACAGGCAGTCATAGGGCTAAAGATGATGGTAGTAAATTTAAGGCTAAAAATAAAGTGCAGATGTTTGTAATTAAGTCGCTAGCAAAACTGGCATTTTGTTACTATTTCCAGCACACCATTCTAGCTCCTCTCGTGCCTGCTATGCTTCAGATTTAGTACCAGCCAAATCCCACTACACTACTCATTCCTTCTTGCAGGGAAAACCATTTGCCAGCCATTGAGTGTTGTGTAATCTGTCATAGTGATGCAAATTAGACATGGAAAACTGCTGTGTTTTCCATGTCTTAGTTTTCTTTGAACATGAAGAACAACAGATTATCATGGTCCAAGTTTGGTGGTAAGCTTTAAACCTGCCTTCAGCATTTCATATGAATCCTAGCCTATGTGAAGCAATCAAAATTAAAACCAGAGCATCTGAAAAATGTGCTAATTTCCCTTATTAGGGAGTATGACCATATCTGGATGTCACACTAAAGTAATGGCTTAGTAGTTACTTTAACAAGCTGCAGTGAGTCTTGGCTTTGTTATGCACCCTTCTCTCTTGTCCCAAAGGTTTTGGTGATCCATAGTTTGTCATTCCATCAACATTGATAAATTGTGGCTAACAGTAATTATGAATACAGTGGTGCCCCGCATAGCGACATTAATCTGTTCCAGGAAAACGTCGCTATCCGGAAACATCGCTAAATGGAACTGACCGTTAAGCGAAGATTCCCCATATGGCTGCCATTTTCGCCACCTTATATATATATATAAACCCTTCTTCTCATGGTTGACTTTCAGGGAAATGATTTCTGTAGGATTCAAGTGTGAAAAACACTAGGAAACTCCTTTGCCTCTCTCCCTACCTCCACCCTTTCTCTCCCTACTTCCATCCTGACTCTTCCTGCCCTCATCAAGGCCATCAATGTGACAACCCCAGACCTACTGGGATATACCACCCTTTAACTAAGCTGCCACCAACCATTCCCTATAAGGAGTCACACAGACCAGGAATGGATTTTTAACAAACAAAAGAACAAGGTTTATTTAAATAACACACAGGGAAAATAAAATGATCAAGTGAATAAGATACAGTAACGTGGCTTAGTCTCAATCATACATACACCAGTTTGGTTCACACAGAACACCTTTAAATAAAGCACAGACCCTGAACCTATCAGTTCTGGCTACCCATAAAGACACCTGAACCTATCAGGTTGGTACTGACTGACACACAGTAGTACCCTGTCTGACACACAGACTCCCACACCAGCTTCTTCTTCCCAGCTTCTCCTTCAGCTCTCCTCACAAACTCCAAATATATACAGAACAGCTCCTCCCCCCTGATGTCCCGCCTTCCACTCCCCATAGGATGGAACTTTCCCTCCAAACCCATGACAGACAGCTACCATCAGTGCTGTATGTAACAATCACTGCCCTCAAATAAGGTACCAAATGATTATGCAAGTGACTGAGTGTTACCAAAGAGAGAGAGAAAGTGAAGAAATGACAGAGAGAAGATAGGAAATTTTAAGTTAGCTCTGCTTTGACCATCCAGATTTGCAGGAGGCACAGTAAGAGTAGAGCTACCTCAAAACTCTTCTTTCTCAATTGATTCCCTCTTTTGTTCTTCCTTTAGTCAACCAGTTGTCCCAGCGTTAGAGTAACAAGCTTTTTAAAGAAAAAATGAAAAGAAAAAAGAGAGAAAACTCAGACACCAGGTGTGAGGAGAAAGGGATTCAAATGCCAGAGTTTCCCCACTGCTGCTGTTGCTGGCTGGAATGGCTTTAAATACAATGGCTACAGACCCCTCCATATCAGCTAAAGAGATCCTGCTGTTTAAACCAGTGTAAAGGCTTTTGTTTTAAAAAAATAGAAACCCCAGCAGTGGAGGAAAAAAGTACAAATGGAGAGGGGATTCCAAGCTGATTCACATTGACTTTTACATCATGTAATCAATGGGAAATAATGCAAATCAAACTGTTCCATTCCGAGACAATTTCCTGCATTATTTATCAATGTAGTCACATCTTTAGTTTGGCTTGTGTGTTATATAGGTTAAGAAGACAAGGGAAGCTTGTCAAAAGCTGAGTATGGTAAAAGAGTAGTAAGTCTTGATTTCAGTATACATTTTACAATGTTTCAGTCATGCTCTGTGATAAATCAAAGGACTTATTTAATTGGCTCCAGCAAGTATTTGGTCCTTGGGTGAACACCCAGATGTATGGAGAGACTGGCATCTTCCTATAAAATATTATGTTGCTTTTTATAGAGAACCATGGTTCTTAGAACTCTCACACTGAATGCACAGTGAAAACAAAAAGAACAGAGACTGCTACTGAAGTTTGAGTAGATGTTAGTAATTGAGTTAGATTAACTTGCAGTAGAATAAGTGTATTTCTGTGGAACATTATCTCACTGTGTTAAGTAGAGGTTATTCTCAGCTAATAGGACTACAGCTATAATTTGAGATACTTACCTGTTAATATTTTGAAATCTCTGTTTTGCAGATGACATTCTTTCTGCTTTAGCCAGTGTTTCAGGACGTAAACATCCATCAACAATTCAGACTAAACAGTTGAAAGCGTGCCTTCCAATGATCCCTGTGGTACTTCATCTTGTGACATCTCAGGTAAAAAGATGTTAAATAAGAGAAAATAAGCAATATTATGAGACTGAAGAATATTTGTTTTGTCCTCTGTGGGTTATAATACAAAATCTATCCCTGTCCATTCATCTTTCTGGAATAGCATCATTAATGGATGCCAGTTAGTTTTACAACAAGGTTCTTGCTCTTTAATTAAGCTAATGAAACATGTCCTATTTTCGTGGCTTGTTTTCCCCAACAGCAATCCCTTTCCACTCAAAATTAAACATGTATATTGGAGAGAAGTCCCAGTGCCTCACCATCTGGTGTGATGACCGGCATGGGAGACTCAGAAACTGATTTGGCAATGGAGTTGGCTGCTGCAGAGAATAATTTGGCTGGGGACAAGATATTAGCAAGTGGGAGTAGAAAGGATTTGGATGACTCCGTGATAAACCAGATACAGGAATTAGAACATTGGTATATTCAGCCAGACATAGAGCCTCCCTCAAAAGTAACTGAACAGAAAGACGAAATAGATAATAGTGTACCTTTTCAATGGGTAAGGGATATTTTAGATAAGATGAAGGTAATAAAATTATTTCTCTATAAATCTATGAATTGTTAGCAACCCTAAATGAGTTAGGCAAGCAGCCTAAAACCAACAATGAATGAACTAACTCAGGCACTGAAACTCTCCAAACTGCATCTCAGAGTGAAGGAAAAGTCCTTAGAAAGAAGGGAAAGAACAAGTCAAAGAACATAAGCCAAAACGGGATGACTAAACAATGTACAGAAGGGAAAAGACTAAATCTGAAGGGAACTAAAAATAGAGAAAAAATGAAAAAGAGCAAGAATATAAAGAATACAAAGAAAGAGAAATCATTAGTTCATAAGATGAACTATAATAATTTATTTTAAATGGTAGAGGTTAAACATAGAAAGAAGGGAAAGGCATTCAGACCTCATAAAAAGGATAAAAGGAAGAAAAGCCATAAGGTCCCTACAGCTACACACTTGAAGAATTCCCTCTCTGTTAAAGAGAATACAAAAATAGGAACTGACCCATGGGACGATGTCTTAAATATTAGCACTGAGAGTGACAATGAAAGAACAATACAGCTAATACAACCAAAGACCAAAGCACCCTGGAAGCTAAAACTAATGGACAATATCTTAATATTCAGTGGATACCCAAAACGGAAAGGTATGCTGTCTCAGAATGAACATAATTGGAATTTAATCAAAATTCTACAAAGTTCAAACATAGATCATATTTCACCAACCAAAATCTTGAATGTGGAATATTTGTATTACAACTATTCTCATGCCCATGTGGTAGTTACATTTAAGGACAGCATAATAACTAATAGGATCTACAGTAAGAGAAAAGAGCTATCCAAGAGAGGTGTAACAGTTGTCAGATGTTTTAGAAATACAATGCACCCCATGCCCTTGTTAAGTCCTGAGGATAGAATGATAGACAGGACTAAGCCAGCTTTTGATAACTGAGCTGCATAAAGAAGAAGATCTCATCAATCTGGAGGCAGATCTCAGGGGCAAATGATAGAAGAGCAATATGGCAATAATGATCCCATAGGAAATAAACAGGATAAGAATTATTTAATATATAAGATTAAGTTAGATTTTAACCAGTTAGGAGATGACGTAGAAACTAATCTCTCAGCTTTTGGGAATTTACCAATAGGTGACCAAGCTTTTATGATAAACCATTTGGAATGTTTGGTGGCTACACTGAAGGATTTGCAGCAGGCCCCCTCTGATAAAACAGGACCAGAGAGCTATCCCCCTTCTACCCACAGGTCTCCAGAAAATATATTGGAGGATATTAAAAACTGCACTCCTCTGGAACCAACTATAGCAATAACCAAAGGTGGCTTAAATTCCAACTTGATCATACCCTCTGATGACCTGACTTTTAGCAAGATAATTGAGGAGACAGTTCCATCTTCTGCTATATCTAATAAAAAAACGGTGTTGAAGGATCTACAAGAATCTATATTAACTTTGAATCAGATGAAATGTCAAGAAGAGTGACAAGAAAACATTACATTATTCTCATGAAATATAACAGGTTGGAATCTTAAAAATAAAGATGCTTCTTTCACTATGTACCTAACTAAGTTTGATATAATGTTACAAGAGACATGGGCAACAGATACAATAGAACTAGATGGATTCACTGCCCATTAGTTATATGCTACCCCTAGTAATGAGAAGGGTAGATCAAAGGGCGGCCTACTTATACTTAGTTCCACCAAACTCCGGGCAACACTGAAAAAGGGTCCAACTTCTCACCAATTTGCAATAGCCATAGTGGTAACAGATGAACACTGCTCAATGCTACTTGTAAATGTATATATACCTCCTCAAAGATGACAGGCTCAGATTGACTTGATATGGCAAGGACTAGAAACCTGTATCGAAGAGTGCTTAATAACTTCCCCCAATTCTTTTACAGTGGTGCCCCGCATAGCGATGATAATCCGTGCAGCAAAAATCGTCGCTATACGGATTCACTATATGCGGGGAAAAAAGCTCATAGGAATGCATTAAAACCTGTTTAATGTGTTCCTATGGGCAAAAAACTCACCTCTAAGCAAAAATCCTCCATACGGCTGCCATTTTCGCTGCCCGGTAAGCGAGGAATCGGCGCAAAAACACAGCGGGCGGCCATTTTTTTTACCCGGCGGCCATTTTGGAACTGTGATCAGCTGTTATAAAAACATCGCTATGCAAAAATCGGTAAGCGAAACAGCTTACCAATCATCGCAAAGTGATATTTTCCTATCTAAATTATTGCAATGCGATCACTTTTGCGATCGCAAAAACTTAATCGCTATGCAGATTCGTCGTTAAACGGGGCGCCCGTTAAGCGAGGCACCATTGTATAGTAATTGGGAGTGATTTCAATGCCAGGATGGGAGCTGATGACACTGCTCTCTATACAGTTTATCATCTGTGTCTCCCTGAAAGATCTCTTGATACATCAAATGTGCATTGTGCAAAATATTAGCGATTATGCAGGACTTCAGCTAGCTCAGATGGATCATCACCTAAACCTGCATATATTAAATGGAAACACCCCGAGAGAGATCCCAGGTGAGTTCACATATTGGTTAGGAGATAGGGTGAGCACCATTGATTATTTGATAGTCAACAACAATTTATTGAGCTCGATTCATAAAGTGGAGCTCGATTACAAGCCGGTTAGTGATCATCTTCCTTTAAATTTGTACTTGAGGGCTCCAGTTCAATGCACTCGTATAAAGAACATTCTTCTTTGTGGTCTCTGTGAATGCACACAAATGGGTTGTTCTGCACCTGCGCTGAACGTCTCAGACGTTTCTAGAGCTTAAAGACACATGATTAGTGGGACGTTCCCCTGTGGAGTGCATGTTCCGCCCATCCTAGATCCCCTCAGTTCCTTTTTTCTGCCATGTTAAGACCTGTTTTGGAAGAATAGAGCAATTTGACAGTTTGAGATCAGATCTATCGTATTTCAAATTTATCCTCTTTCTTTCTAATCATACAGTCAACATTTCCCTGTAAGTTCGTTCTAATTTTTATCTACCTGTGTTTTTGCTTTCCCCCAAGCCATTTTTACTTCCTTTTTCCTGCTCTTTATGGCCTCACCCGACCCTTTTATGTGGTGCATTGTTTGTGCCAACAAAATACCTCTAATCAATGGGCATGGCCGCTGTTTGTTTTGCCTGGGTGAACAACATCCCACCCATTCCTGTGCACCGTGCAAAAGATAAACAAAGCTGGCCCTCAAACTTTGGCTCCAAAGATTGAGGTCCTACCTTTGGGAGAAGTCTCTCAACTCTCCTGCGGCTTCTATGGAGACCACACAGTCCCCAGACCCTCAAGTAGAGCAGCAAATCCCACCACTGGCAGCTCCTGGCTCAGTGACTCCTTCTCCACATCCCAAAGAGAAGTCAGAGAAATTGAAATCAGCATCGAGGATGAGGTCGATATCGATGTCAAACACCTTGGCTTGAGTCCTGGACTCTTCTAAAAAGAAGAAAGATAAAATGACTTCAAAAAAGAAAAAAAGGTCAAATCTACTCATATTGACCCACCACAACCAACTTTGCCATTTCCTATCATGGAAGAATCATCCAGAGATGCTCCAGGATCTACATCTGAGAGGGAAGAGCTCCCTCTACCTTGTCTGCATGTTGCCTAACACCTGCCTTTCTCCAGCTGACTGGTAGCCTGTCACCTAACACCTGCCTTTCTCCAGCTGACGTGCAATCCACCCTCGGCCCATTCTAGCCCTGCTTCATCAGATCAGTCAATTGCAATAGAGCTTTCCAGTTTGGAGTCATCTCACCACTCTCCCAGGAAGCACCAAGAAAAGTGTAAACACCTTTCACCCCCTTGGTACGCTACTGCATACTGAGATTACTATTACTATCCACAATCCTCACAATATCAATCTCGTGATGAAGAGAGGGAGAGATATTATCACTATGATCTGTACCTAATTGAAGACCCTCAAGAACAACTTTACTATGAGGAACCCAAAAGAGTCAGATATATACTGCCATACATATCTCGACATTCACCATCACTCTCTCTGTTAGCGCAAAAACGTGGTTTAGCAGAGTATTTAGCTGTCCAGGTAGTCCAGAATAACTGACGCAGCTTCTCCACCACCAACGTTTATTTACAAGGTATTTACAACAGTTCAGTCTGGCAGCATAACAGGTAGCAATCATCACCAAGCAGAAAGGTACATCAACTGTTCATCTCACACATATATACACATACAGATCTGCTTGTGCCCAATCATATTACGTGTTGCATCATCCATGAGTCAGCACTTGTGAGTCATCATGATGTCATCAGATGTGTTTTTAACACATCTGTTCATCATGGCTGCTCATTAATATACTTTATTTTGATCAGACCTTTAAATTACCTTGACACTCTCCATCTCCATCTCCTTACTGACATCGCTCTCAACATTCCATGCCCGCTTATCCTACTGTTCCAGCCAAACCTACTTTGAAATG